AATTTGTAGTAATAACCTTGTGTGGATGGTGGTTTAGGAGCTTTACCTCTGGATTAATTAGATCATAGCTTTGCATCTGCTGGCCTGGGCTTCTGTTTTTTAAAGGAGGCCAGTATTAGTTTGTTTCTTGTTGGTAAGCTATGCAAATAAACGGTTATTTCAATTTTAAAATCAGACAGGATAATGCAGACATGTCAGTTGTCTCTGATGGCACCAGATATGATGAAAATAGTTGTTTTGGTTGCTTATGGCTTAATATATGGCCTTGCAAGTTGTAGGGATAGTATTTCTGGACTCATTTTTTACACACCAAGATAGAACACCTCTGGCAAATGGGAATGATTGGCATTTTTAGTTGCATCCTATTCAACATGTATGCCAGAGTATGAATTTTGGCCACATTAGGGAGAGTATAATTGATTACCTATCTCTCCCTTGATTCCTGATATATGCAAATTGGTGCCTTTTTTTAACCTATGGGGCATTCTCTGTATACCTTGGCACTGCACTGATTAAGATAATGCATTTTGGAGGAATGAGAGAATGATGGAAAATTATTTATAATTCCTAATCATTTCATTTAAAGTCCCATGCGTCTTGATAAAAAGATTCCTCTAAAATTATTTGCAGTAGATATCCGTGTCAAAAGGCAAGTCAGTGAAGAGTGGTGTGTATGTGTTTGTATATGGGCCTTTGTATGCGTGCCCTCATGCTTTGTGAGGGGAAAGGGAAAGAGAGAGAAAAAAAGGAAGATGAGTGAGGGGGAAAGAGGAGTAATCTCTCCCAGTACTCTGCAAAAGGGATGTTTAGGCTCCTTGGTTATCATGAGACAAGAGGCTCACTTCTTTTTACTGATGAATTTATATTGTAATTACTGAGTGCTGGTGAACCTCATTAAGTCCCAGGGGCTGGATTATAAATATATACAATTCACAGAAGCCATTTGAATTCTCTGTGAAAAACCTAGTACTCAAGTGTGAAATCAATCTGTGAACAGGTATAACAGTTTTGATGCTGGTTGTCCATTAAAGTTAGCTGTTTCTCTACAATGCTAAGGGCCAAGTTCTAAAAGTTAAACAAATGCTCTGTGGCTAGATCCAATGTGCCACTCACTTGTAAGTTCCTGTTCTGTTGCAGAAGGGAATGACGGCAGTTAAACTTTAAAGATAAACATTTTTTAATTGGGTTCCTAGAAAATAATGGTGTTTTTATACAATTCTTGGAATAGAGCCTACAGCTGCCCCAAACAAAATAGTCTCTATCAAGATCTTGGAAATAATGACATCATAGTCAGATTGAACCAGCAATCCATTAAACAGTACGCTTTGTAGAAAGCTATATCAGGGGAGGAACCTGCTTTGGTAAATTGGCATTGTTTATAAACACAACATAATGGAATCCCCCTTTTATCTACATTTATGGAATAGTTGGAGATATCTCCCACTTGGGAAACAAATACATTAGCAGCAAGGCTTCCTTACAGGTTCCTACCCTTTCTCCATCAGTTTTCTAAAAGTGTGCTTTGAAGCATTTGCTTTGAAATTGAGTTAATGATAACAAGATGCTCCTGCATTATTCTTTTGTCATCAAATCAGAATTATTTGGAACCATTAGAAGAAGATGAAGATAAGTTGTACCTTGTAAAGAACTGAAGTAATCCTATATAATAAAAGCCTAATATGCAAATCGGCCAAAAGGTGGAATGACCAGTGGAAGGACCAGTCACTATGACACACACTGACCACCAAGGGGCAGACGCTCAATGCAGGAACTGCCCCCAGCCTGCAGGCCCCTGGCCAGCCAAGGCGGGTGCCAGTGAGGGCCTCCTGATCACCCCTCCAGTTGCCCTACAGACTGGCCCTGATTGCTGGCCAGGCCTAGGGACCCTACCTGTGCACAAATTTCATGTACTTGGCCTCTAGTAAGAGGACAATTCAAGCAAAACCAAACTGAACTATATAGGTTAAAGAAGTGGTTATTTGGTTCATGCTACATGTTCCTGGTGTGGAACTAGACAAAAATTCTTCAACTTCATTTTCATGTCTATAAAATGTTTGTTTCAACTCCTCTTATAATCTTCTGATGATTTAAATGGAATTGAAGCAAATTTAATTTACTGGGCAGTAGAAAGTATGCTATATAAGCTGGGTCCTTTGAAGATGCCTGTGATATGGACCACATCAAGTGTGTGGAGTAGACATTTTAGTCAGGAATTTCTAGTGTAATATAGGAGAGTATAGTATGAGTTTTTTATTCTTTTTTATTACAAGTAGCCCTTTTCTCCCAACCTAAAATATACCAGGTCAAATAAGGTCAGAATAATCAGGCATCCTGAAAAAAAAAAACAGGGCACTTACCTTGTGAGTCTCTGGCCAGAGCCCTTAATTAGGAACAAAGAAGGCCACTTCGTTAGCCACACCCATTTATCAAGAACAAAGGAGCCTAGTATTTTCAATTACATAGGTGCCCTAGAATCCTGACTGGCCCAGACTCTAACTTGCTTTTATTGTGCAAGACCAGCTCTGTATACCATTTTAAAGAGGCCATGCATGTTCCTCTGACTTCTTCATCTCAAGTAATCAGTCATCAGAAAATATGTATCATCTGAATATTGTGGCTCCTCTCTCCCTGTGATATATATTTTTCAGAAACCTCTCTTTTAGGTATTTCTATTTAAATACACAGTTCTTTTGCAATAACTTTAAATTTTCATTAATTTTTTACCAAAGTTCAGTATCATATGAGGTAGATTTTGTATAATTGAACTTTATTTAATAATCTCATATTCAGACATCATTTTTGAACTGAGAAAAGTAAAACAAACAAACAAAACCAAAGAAAAAATAGTGCTTTGTTTCTGGTGGCAAATTCTTCTCAGTGACTAAGTTAAAACCTTCTCTGTCCAAAACAGAATAATGCCACTGATGAAATCAGTCTTAAACTCACTTTTATTTTGGGGAAACAATGAATTTAGAAGGGCTAAAATCAAATACAAAAGGGAATGTAAACCCATTAGCACTAGTTTCATATTCTAATTAAAATAGGCACTAGTATATCCATGAGCAGGCCTTATCTTTGACATCAGTTAGTTTTAATTTTGCTGTATACTGTAGTTTCACCTACATAGGAAAATGTGAGACTTGTCAAGTTGTTGCCATTTGTGACAAAACATTTAATACTGAATATTTTCACTATCATGCTAACTGAAAGAACAACAACACAGAATTGTTCTTCATTTATTAAGATAATGCAAGTCATGACACTTAGGAAAGGAAAAGAGATCTCTTGTCCAAATCAAGATCAAGCCAATCATTGTTAGTTGGTAGTCATCTATGCAGATGGAGAAGCTATTGATAATCACTTATTCTTTTTTTAAAAAAATATGTTTTATTGATTTTTTTTCCAGAGAGGAAGGGAGAGGGATAGAGAGGTAGAAACATCGATGAGAGAGAAACATGAGAGAGAAACATCGATCATCTGCCTCCTGCACACCTCCTACTGGGGATGTGCCTGCAACCAAGGTACATGCCTTTGGCCGGAATCAAACCTGGGACCTTTCAGTCCGCAGGCCGACGCTCTATCCACTGAGCCAAACTGGTTAGGGCGATAATCACTTATTCTTAAATATTCACTGGCTGTATATATTTGAGAAAACTTAGAACATAGTAAAATTAAAAAATTTTCTACATAAAATGATGTAACCTAGTTAGAGTTCAATACTGAAAACAATAAGCATAGTAACAATTAAAGAGCTAAAAATATTTATGATAGATTATTTTTCATTATAATAGGTAATGAGGAGATCCTGGTTTTATTGTTGTACTTAGATTTGTTTATAGTAAATATTGTTGGGATAAAGTGATGTGCTAAGTTGTGTTTGGAGAGTTCTTTTGCTCCTAAATGAGTGCCAGTTAATATTTGAATTTACAGAGATTTTGTTGCAATGAAATTTGATTTTTCTTGTATTCAAACTGGAGATTTACTTGGAAGCTACTCTTAACACCTGACTTACCATGGCAAGTTTCAGGTCCCTAATGAAGGACTTGAATTGGAATAGGAAAACAGCTGGAAACAGAAACATTTCCTTGGGAAGTCCATGCTTTACAGTTCACCTTACCCTCCCAGTGGGATAAAACCCAAATACATTCAGCCCTAAGCACAAAATGCAAAAGTAATGAAATTAAGAGCAAATAAGTTGCTAAAACCCAGACAGATTCTTGCAACCATGTTACCCCTGTCAACTTCTTTGTTCCCTGTTCCAAGACATAAAATATGACAATGAATAAGCTTTTAGTGTCTCCTCAGGAAGTGTCCTCTCCTTGGAGCTCCTCTTTGCTTATGGTGACATTTGGTTCAGCTTTATCTTCTACCTGCTACCTGAAGATGGGGAATCATTTCTTCTATCTGTATACCCAAACTCTGCTGAAACTACCAGGGCTACTAGATTGCTTCTCAGTTCTTTCTCATAAAACAGTAGAATATATTTTGTAGATCAGGTACACACAAGTGAGAATCAGACACCAAAGGCATCCCAATGTCAAAGCATTCAACACATCATTCTTATGGGCCATTAAAATCAACAGCCAAATCTGTGTCAATTTTGGATTCTAAAGAGGTTGTGCTACCCTACCATAACAATGATCAGGATAGAATATTTAAAGAAGAAAGATTGCAGCTTGTTCATGAAAAGACTTGGTGTACAGCAGAAAATAGAGTTTCATCGTGAGAAAAGGAAGGGACCTTTTATGTGTTTGTGTGTGCATATTGAAAAGCGATTAATCATAGCCTTCACTTTTCTCTTAGAGAAATTCCGCTGTTGGTCATTAGGGAGGCAGTACCTTTTCCTCTAGAAAAGAAACCCCTCAAAATGGTCAATGAAAAACCTGAGGCAATATGATACCAATACCTTTGTTTCTAAGATATTAGAATCCCTATATTTACTAGATTGTTTTATAGACCTCTCCTTTCTTAACTCCTGTTTTCTCCTCCTCCTTCTTTAGGAGCTGTGCAATTAGTTGTAACTGAAAATGTCTGACAATCTGGATAATGAAGAGAAACCCCCAGCTCCCCCACTGAGGATGAATAGTAACAATCGGGATTCTTCAGCACTCAACCACAGCTCCAAACCGCTTCCCATGGCCCCTGAAGAGAAGAATAAGAAAGCCAGGCTTCGCTCTATCTTCCCAGGAGGAGGGGATAAAAGTAAAGTATCAGTGGCCGGGCATTGAAAAGGGGCTAGTTTATTCTTTCATTGTCACTTTCTTTCTTGGGTAGTCATTTCTTGAGCATTAGTTGTTTAGGGACTGCCTGATATTTATGTCTACTTCTTCAGAGGTTGCATTTTGTCAGAAGTTAATGTTTGATTGATGTACTGTGGTATACAGAAAATATACTTATGTTGTATTTACCTTTTACATCATATTGAATTCATAGTGTTAAGCCAAGGGAAATCATAGCAATAATACTGTCTTGAAAATATAAACGACTTTCTTTCTGATAACTTAGAGAAGAATTTACAGTAATCTTTTCTAAACTGCAAGCTCTCCTTATTGGAAATTGAACTATAGGTGGATTTACTTCTATATACCTTTTTGACAGCTGTGAAAATTTTGAACTGAGTATACAGGAGTCAGTCCAAGTCATTTGTTTTCTTTCTCATCTTCTGTCAGTTGTCCCCTACACAACCAGCCCTATTTGCACTGGATATTACAACAACATATTATCATTTATCCTTGTGTTGTTCATAATACCATTTGGTGCTTAAATATCATATGCTGACACTTTGTAACACTGGGGGGTATAAAATATCTAGTAAGTAATTGCCAGGTTGCATTAATTAGCCTAAAGTTTAAACATGGCTTCTATAAATGTGACTATTGAGGCAGAATAGAGTGGATGAAGTACAGGGACAGTTACCACAGAAACTTGCCAAAAGGGCAAGAAGGGTGATGTCTTTAGAAGAGAAAAGGAACATTCCTCATCTGCTTCTTCAAGGCAAAACAAACGGCTTCATAGGTTGCTTTCACGGTGTTAATGAATCCATAATTTGTACCATAAGGAAAACCCAAATTCTTATTAAGGTCAGTATTGTCTCTTGTGTACCTGTATCATTTAAGAGATGTTTAATCCCTTGTGACATAAGTATGGAAAACTTGGAAATGATGTTAAACATCTGTATTAAATACAAGCAAAATAATAAGGAAACACTTTCCATGTATGGGATCTGTGACCATGTAAGAGAAATTTTTGAAGAAATATTTTCAGACACTGAAATGGGTCCAGAAAAAATATTTGCTAGGAACAAGGGATAGTTTGAGAAACTTATGGAATGCCATGACCTAGAGACCAAGTTTTATGTTACAGTGGTGCCAAAGAACGAACTACCAGAGCCTGCAGTTTCTGTGTTGTATCTGCCACAATTGCAGAAAATAATTGAAGCAGGGGATTATGTTTCTGTGCAAATCTGTGCTCTTGAGACCACCATGCTTTGGAAACCCTTGAACAATCTCATTTGTCCTTTTGAAGAGTAGGAGCCAACTGATGCTAGTATGAGGTCAGCAAAAATAGGGAGGTTTACATTTGTGGTTTGTGCCACTACTTCAGGTGACCTCATAGTGAAATCATTACTACTCTACATGAAACTATGCCCAAATCGTCCCAATAGAAAAAACCTAAGCAAGTTTCCGATGCATTTTCATGCAAACAGAAAAGCCAGGATGACTCCTTCTCTCTATAAGGAATTGTTTGAAAAGTAATTTCTTCTGGAAGTTCAAGACTATTTTTTTAAAAATCTTGAATTCAAAGTCCTACTGATTTTTCACAGTCCTTTCAGAACCTCAGATGTACTTGCCAATGTGCATCTTAATGTTAAGGTTGATTTGATAACTACTCTCATGTCTCAGATCCTTGAGGCCTTAGATCAGTGTTTCATCCAGTCATTCAAGAAGACTTAATGCTAAGTTAATAATATAACTTTGTTGTTCAAAATTTCACAAAGTTTCCTCTGTCTGAAGATCCTAGTGCATTGGATTTCTACACCATCACTAATGCTATATTCTTAATAAAAGAGAAATTTGATAGTTTAACAGGGCCTTTCATTAATACAACCTGAGGGAAAATTTGGCTAGATATAGTGGAATATCTTTCAGCAGTCCCATCTGAAAAAAATATTTGGATCAAGAAGAGCCTATGGGTGCAGATGAACATTTGACACAAGCAGTCATTGGCTAAAGTTGAATCTGAACCTGTTGACACTAACCCACATGATGCGATGCTGCTAGAAGATGACTTTCAGAAAAATTCCAATACTCCAGAGATGATTAGCATAAGTGATGATGAAGATACTTAGGATGTATGGAACTGTAGCAACAGAAGCAAATATTTTAGAACAAGATTAGCAACTCCCCAAGAAAGTAGGGAAAATTGATACCTTTACATGTCAAACCTTACCTCTTCAAAGCTTGAGTAATTTAGCAGAATTATATAAAGAGATATTCTGCTGCCTTAAAAATATGTCACATTGGACAGAAACCATCTTCAGCGGGACTTAAGTAATCAAATACCAGTGCTGGAAAGCTGATAAGCTGCATTCAGACGAAGGTTGAATGCTTTACTTGAACTCTATAAGAAGATTCTAAGAGTCTTTTGACAACACCATAATGGGAAGAAAGCAAGAGCCTAAATCATCAAGTAGTGCCATTTATATACCAGTGTTGGACAGTTGATAATCTGACTTCAGAAAAGCTTGAATGATTTAATTTGAATTCTATATCCAAGTGCTAAGGTGTCTTTTAAAAAGACTTGAGATTGTACCACTTAAATTCACTTGCTTGATAGGGCTAAAACCACAAGCAAATCATTACAATTTTAGGGTTGGATTTAGATGACTCTGAGAGTATGGAGAGCCATGATTTTGAAATAGTCCAGCTCTGTTCATTGCTTCACTGTCCCTCCCATTTTCCACTGCCGTAATGAGTGGTACATCTTCATTACCTTTGAAAATCATTGCAGTATCTAAAATGGAAACTATGTAGAACCTGTCATTTTTACTAATTTAAGCTATGTAAACTTTCATTCTTTTTATGTAATGTACTATTGTTATTGTTTTATTTTATTGTGCAAAAAAGTATTTATGAGGGCTTTCAAAATTCACATGTAACCTCACTTTTCTTACTCTTTTTTTAACCTCCTAAAATCATAATTTCATCAGCTGAACTCCCCTACTTTGGGAGTCATTCAAGAATAGCATCTTTATAGGTAGGGAGTGGTTACTGTTTCTATGTTTCTGCCTCTCAGTGACTGATTAGGTTACACCACTGTCAGTCTTGAATGAATAGAAAGAACACTGGACTTGGGCTCTGGAGGCCTGGGTTTAAGTCTACCTGTGTCACTGATTATTGTGGCTTTGAGCTAGTCACTTAGTTTCTCTGAGCCTCAATTTCATCACCTGTTAAATGAGAGAGTAATATCTAGCTTATCTCACAAGATATTGTTGATAATCAAATATAATTATAAATATCAGGATACTTTTACAAGTAAATTTAATAATATTAAAAATAAATAAATAAATTTATTAATTATTAAAATGTAAAATAAATTTTATAATTATTAAGTGCTTAATGATTGTGAGGTGTTTTAGATTTGCATCATTCTGGCCCTTACAAACAACCAAAAAGCTAGACTTTAGAATTCTTGTTTTTTTAAGTAACTTTGTTACTGACTAGAATTTATATGTCAGTTATAGAAAATTGAAAAATTGAAACTGCCCATAATTCCATGGACCAGTGATAACTGATTAGGTTGGTATTTTCTTCCTAGTTCTTCTTTCTCATTATAGAGAAGTTTTTCATCAATATCAAAAACTTTGGAAAATAAACACAAGCAAATAGAAAAGAAATCACCCAAATTCACAGATCTCAGAAACAATGTTAACATTTTGGTGGATTTCTTTTCAGACTTTTTATGGCTATATATGGGGATATTTTTACATAGTTGAGATCATAATATATAATTTTATATCCTGCTTTTTCACTTACATTTTTTATCATGAATATTTTCCTACATTTTAAAAAGTTTTCATAATATTATTTTTGAAGTGTATAATATTTCATCATATATTGGCATAGTGGCATCATGGTTTATTTAATCATTTTCTTTCATTGGATATTTGGGGAACTTTCTAAATTTTTTATATAAATAATGTCACAATGTCTACTTCTTTAATTAAATGAAAATACTTGCTTTGGTGAAAGATGTTTTTGTTTGTTTTATTTTGTTTTAAGAAGTCTCTTTAACTACATTTCATTGAACAAATGGAATTTCAAGAGATAGGTAGAAAAAAAAAGTAGTAGTAGATGTAATTTCAAGAGTGACTATCTTTGTTGGAGACTATTCCAAGAGCTGAATCATGATGTTAGAGCAACTTTGGAGAGACAATTTACCACCATTTTATGATACTTCACTATAGGAAAGTTTTCAGAACTTAGATCAGGAAAAGAACATCCTTAACAAGTGGTTTTGTTTTTATTTTATGTACCCTGTGAAGTGTGAGACTACTTCTCTTTTGTTGGTTTCTAGAAACCATTTACTAGGTTTCTCTTTTGTTGGCTACTAGAAAGCTTGGAGCCAAATATGTGGCCCATGCATAGCACTTGCCATGGGGACTCTATGGTATGTATGTGCTTTGTATTAGCTTTCTTCCAGGCTCCATTTTATGTTCCTATCATTTTTTAAGATTTTTAAAAAATGTTTTTATTGATTTCAGAGAGAGGAAGGGAGAGAGAGACAGAGATAGAAACATCAATAATGAGAGAATAATCACTTGGCTGCCTGATGAACGCCCCCTATTGGGGATAAAGCCTGCGACCTGGGCATATGCCCTGACTGGGAATCAAATCATGACCTCCTGGTGCGTAGGACAGTGCTCAATCCACTGAGCCACACAGGCAGGGCTGTTCCTATCTCCCCGCCCCCCTTTTACTTTCTTATCTACTTTGAATTTATACTATCATTTGTATTTTGTGTATTCTTGTAAGCCACCTGATAGCCATTTTGGAACAAGGTGGGGAATAAATACATGAATGAATAAATAAATACATGAGAAAATTACAAAGGCAGTGAGGTAAATGAATCTGCCAGGACTCTGAAAATGGAATAGTACCTCTAAAAAAAAATAGTGTTAAGGACTTGAAAATTGGAAGAAC